CTGCACCGAAAACGGCAATTTCAGTGGCATGACCATTCTTGATCTTGAACAATTCTTGAATAAAAGAGAGAAAAATGATTCTGTAGTGTGAGTGCTTACAACGTTCTTTAACCCAGCAAGGTTAGGTACCAGAACTGGATAGGAAACATCTGGAAATTTGGCAATTTTCTCTAGCACCTCTTGATGGTCACCCATTTGAGGAACCCACTTGGGTGAAACAAAGCTAGTCGCTTCGATACTCTAAAATCGTAGAATTTCGGATAAGCTTGCATATCTGTCACAATCACAATCAAATTTGCACTCACTTTCAACCCACAAGAACTTAGTCTATTGATAAGATCTATTTTGTCCTCGGTAGAGATGATACGCTGAATATATTATATATCAAACTGCTAGCTAAGAGCTATTATTAACACCTACCGCTTCGTTTTGTAAACCATCGCGGGCACCAACTTCGACAACTTTGAAAGGTTGATACTACAATCTAATCGGTGGAATAAAAATAAAGTACAAATCGGAAACGGAGGACAAACCTGCCCTAAAAGTGTTGTAAAATTTCGGCAAGATCCAAGAAATGAAACGCGCATCCTCTCCTGAAAAAAAAAACTGTGGTGTTAATTTATCATTTGAGCCAAGGTAGCACGAATAATACGCAATAAGGTTCCCATAAAGGATTTCCTATCAACAATAGCAGTGACGATTACCTCCTTCGCAGAAAGTGTGGCGGAAGATTTCCCGCGGCAAGCTTGCTATAAACGAAGAGAGAGGGAAGGGAAAAGAATCATTCGATGACAGAATTAATCAAGTTTTCTATGGCCAATGAATTTTTCATACTTGGGTAAAGAGTCACATTTTCTAAAAGCAGAGCACAAGCACTAGTACAACTTTATAAAGGATCTCCACGAAGCGCGAAGCGATTAGCAATTGTCATGAAGAAGGTGTGCTTTAAAAACTTTTCCCTTCGAACTCTATAGTAGAGCTAACATGGTTGGTAAATCGAAAGTTCCTGTATGCTAAAAAAAAAAATTTAGATTATCTTCTGTGTGGCTTTACTACTGCAATTCATTTAATTGTACGCAAGCTTTATTCAGCCTCCACAACACTCGATGTGTTTGCTAAAATGACGAGTGCATGCAACCTTTGTGATGTTATAATCCCATTATTTACAGCAATACCCAAAGTAAAAGCTCATCAATTTAGAAGATAGGAGGATACAATTAAACGAAAGAGTGCTCCAGGAAACAATGCGCGCGCCCTTAGTATAGATGTGCAGGAAAGGATATTTTTCTACAGTAAGACGGCTGAACTTGATCTAATTGAACTCAAAATTGCCCTAAGTTTCTTCTTTTCCTACTAGCATAAGTTAGGAGGAGTTTACTCGTTTGGCCATTTGAGTAGGATTGCTGCTGTTTATGCAAATTTTAGTTCAATTCATCGGATCTTGGGAGTAGCCATTGCTTGGTCGTCTCCTTTTGTGAAGTGAAAGCGCAGTTCACATTCTCTGCCTATTCAACTTAATCTAGACGACCTATAAGTTATATAGGTCAGAAAGACGCTTACCAATTTCAGACATGGGTGACGCTGAAAAGCTCGCGGAAGTCCGCGAAAAGAAGGCGAAAAACTTGATGAGGGAGCTGAAAATCCAGAAGCTCTGCCTCAATATCTGCGTCGGAGAGTCCGGTGATAGGCTTACTCGTGCTGCTAAGGTTTGTCTTGCTCTGTTTCCCTTTTCTCCTTTGTAAACAATATTAAAGCCTTTTTTTGAGGTTCTGGAACAGTTAACTGGCCAGACCCCTGTATTCTCAAAAGCTAGGTACACCGTTCGATCATTTGGTATTAGAAGAAATGAAAAGATCGCAGTGCACTGCACTGTTCGTGGCCCTAAGGCTGAGGAGATCCTCGAGAAAGGCTTAAAAGTCAAGGAGTTTGAGCTGTACAGAGAAAACTTTTCCGATTCTGGAAATTTTGGCTTTGGAATCCAAGTAAGTCAAGCTATTCAACCAGATTTTTACAGATTAGGTTCTGATGATGGTTGTTAGCATTGTTGCTACATCTCTATAATGTTCTAAGAGAATATACAAAGTAAAAATGCCAAACCTTGGTTATGTGTGTATTACTCAAGACTACGACTTTGCATAAACTATCTCGCTATTTATTAGCACAGCGAGGTCTGTAAGTTTTCTATTTCATGCTTAGTTTGCCAATTTTGAAAGAGCTGATGAGCCTTCCAATATTTTTTTCTATCCTTGATAGCCCTCGTTTCTCTAAGTGACTGTTGGCTCTGATTGAGCACCGTATGTCCTCATGCTGTTGATCTTGTGACTCTATTCATTTAACTGTTTTTTGCAACCATAAAAAAGTAGTAATTGCTATGTTTCTTAACAAAGACATTATTCCTAGCTATGTATTTGTTAACATCTGCCTTCTCTTTCAGGAGCACATCGATCTCGGTATCAAGTACGACCCAGGAATTGGAATTTATGGTATGGATTTCTACGTAGTTCTTGATCGTGCCGGCCGCCGTGTTGCAAGAAGAAGACGTTGTCCCGGTCGTGTTGGACCAACTCACCGTGTATATCGCGAGGAGTCCGTCAAATGGTTCCAACAGAAGGTAATTTATATCTCATCTTTGTACATGACTCCTTTTTTGATTTATTTGGCTAATTTATAGTATGATGGCATCATCCTGCCACCAAAGCCCAAGGTCAAGCGAACTGTACATCGCAGACGATAGTTCATTTCATTTTCTTGTTGAATTCATAAATTGTTGTCCATTTATATCATCTTACACATAATTTCGTGGGAGACATCTAAAATCAAAATGAAGACCTCTACTTCTTTTCAGTTGCATTCGCTATCGGAGCATGCAACTTGAATTCGTATTCACACTAAAATGTATCATGCATACACATATCTGTATCATACACATATACAACAATCCGACGATCTTGTGTAATGAATGTTATAGGAGATATAGTTATCAAACTTTGAAGTTTATCCACTCCTTCATGCTGGTGCTCTTTTGGACATTGGAGAAATTGGAATTCTGTCTCCCAAATTTTTCGCAGATGCAATAAGATTGAATTAGCGCTTCGAATTTGTGTGATGATCTGATAATGAAGTAGCTACAGAGAATTGAAGGCGTCGTGCGATTGAGTTGTTAAGATACACGTCCACCTAGACAGTTAACGAAGCGAGAGTAAGAGACTAAGCATACAAATCTTGGATTCCTACGCACAGCTTGAAAATCGGAGATTTAGATAATCGCAAAACTCACAGACGCATTCCGCTTCATAGTTGATAGAAAACAGCGTTTAGCTGATGAATTAGAAATCTCTGTGACAGCAGGCAAAGCTCATTTTCATTACGCTCTTTTCTGTTATGGGAACTGATATTCTTCTTGAAAAGGAGACTTGTACGTAATAAAATCAAGAAAGAGAGCTAAGTTAGATAACTATAGATTAGCAAGTATGTGAATAAATAAAATCTGAGAAGAATATTGA